CTACCTCGCACGTGCCAGTCCCGCCACTCACGTTACCTTTGCCTTCTACGCGCGAGTCCCGCCCGACAGCGTCACATCCACCTCCCACGTGCGAGTCCCGCCAGACAGCGTCACACCCACCTCCCACGTGCGAGTCCCGCCCGTGACAGCGTCACATTTACCTCCCATGAGTGAGTCCCGCCCGTGCCAGCGTCACATTCACCTCCCATGTGTGAGTCCCGTCCGACAGCGTCACATTTACCTCCCACGTGTGAGTCCCGCCCCTGACAGCGTAACATTTACCTCCCAGGTGTGAATCACGCCCCTGGCAGCGTTACATCTACCTCTCACGTGCGAGTCCCACCGCTGGCAGCGTTACATTTACTTCCCACGCGCGAGTGCCGCCCGTGACAGCGTCCCATTTACCTCCCACAGCCAACAGCCGGCGAGTGACGGACTTTTTGCTGATGTCGGTCCCCACCATTCCCATTCGCCGCAAGAAGATAAACATTTAAAAAAGATGGCGCAGTCGCACGCAGCATTTCGATCTAGCGCGTTGCAATAAAGTCGCAAGGGCGGTGAACGGCATGCCATTAAAAACCACCACGCAATGCTTCGTAAGGTTGGCGTCGGACACATCAGATCACGAAAACAGCTGACAACTTCCGATGGCCAGCACTGGCAAAGAAATGCACAGCGCTGTCAGCACCCGGTCAGACAGCACGCCGTTGAAAAACCTCACCAGTAGGCGTAATGTGTTAACGGTGAGTTACTACCGTCGCTATAGCTCTCCCCCCCCCCCCTTGGAATTAATCATCTGTTTCTAAGCCGGAAGGTGTTGCTATTATGTGACAGCTTGCCACATCGCCGGCTTGCCCATCATCGCTTGGACGTGTATCATTCTGTCACGTACCATTCTGTCACACAGTCCAGCATTAACCAATGTCGAAAGAAAAACAGGAGAGAACAACAGTTCTCTTTTGGAGAACAACAGTTCTCCCTAAAACCCTTCACCGAGCAAGCTGAAAATGATGTGCAAGGTCTGGTAAAGCTCGATCTACCTGAGTCATCACAAGACCATTTTGGGCCCACGGTACTGCCCTGCCCAACTCACACGCGCCAGAGTGGCCGCATGATGTCATCCCCACCCCAAAAGCTGAGCCCACGACAGGCCGGTGCCCGGCCCCAGCTGCCGACGTCAGGCGGCTGGTCGCAGTATGCCCCGGCATAGGCCCCGTGTGACGAAGGCCACCCCTCCCTCCCAAACACAGCGCCCGCCGAACCCCACCGGGCACGCCGCTGGCGCAGCTCAGCCCCCGTGTGACCCGGGACGACCGCGCACGCGAGCCGCCGCCGCCCGGCGACCTTGGGCTGGTGCGGTGGCCGGGCAGATGTGGGAGGGGCGGCACACGCGAGACGCGCGGCGCCTCGGCACGCGGGCCGGGCCTGGTCGATCGAGACCACCCGGGGACGGCTCCACAGACCAGCCGGCTGGTGTGGCGGCCGCCGGCAGACTCCAGCCAGGAGAGGCCGATCGCAGCATGTGTGTATGGCGCAAGGGCGCGTCGACACCTCCGGAGCAATTGTGGCCGGGCCAGCAATCAACCCAAGGTGCCGAAAAGACGGCCATTTAAAGCAGCAGCACTGCAGGAAGTGCAAATACTTTCCTCATTCATGTACTATTGCAGGACATTAGTCGAAACAGTCACATTTCATAGCCTGATAGCCACTGGCTGGGATGGCTTACAGCCAGTAGCAGCATTTCCTCAATTTGACTGGGATTTCTTGATCAAATAGTGGTGTCCAGGTTTACACAAGAAGCTCTGCTCAGCATGAGCTCTGGTCCCAGAAATCCATTAAAACTAATGGACTAAAATGTTATTTACATTTGCAAGCCAGGAAAAACATGTGTATAAAACCATGGTAGGACAAAATCTAGATTACATTATCATTTTGAGTAAAGCAAATAACCAGAAATTGCATTGAAAGTCATCCTAAAAGGCTGGCTGCTTTGCTAACTTTCTGGCTGATATCTTTTATCTTTGCTATCTCTTCAGCTGTTTTGCAATTACCTGATAGATTGTCAAATTAACATCACACATTTTCATAGAAAAGAACCATCAGTCTACCATGTTCATATTTTATTACCTTACACACACACCTTAAATTTCTGACATTGTAATAAGGTGGTTTGATGATCAGGAGTGACACCACCATTGCATACTCACCATCACTCCTCTGGATATCAACATTGACTCCTAACTTCAGCAATCCAAACACATCATCCATTTCTTCAAACCACAGTGTTACGTCCTTTGGCTAACAGGAAGACCTGTGGAGAAATAGAACATTATTAGGAGTCATGGCATGGTCTCCTTAGACCCAGTGGTATTTCCAGAGCAACCAAAATCATGTGTATCTGTAAGTATGTGCTTGCTTTAAATTGGAATCAACAAACCTTGAAAGTAATAAGGCAAAAGTGCAGATCCAGGTTGCAAAGCATGCCAGAAATCCTTAAAGGAGGCTCCTGAATCCACCATACATTTTCAATTGAACAAAAACACCTTGCAACATTTTTAACAAAGCTTTGAAAGATATCTTAAAATGGTGTCTCTACATACAGAAATTTGAATCACCTATGTCAATTAATGCAGAGAGACAATACAAATATACAGCATGGTCCGGCTAGCTAGATCACACATCTAAACAGACCATGGAGTGAATGCACTACCAATTTAACAGACTGAAAAGCTCCATGCTGTGCAGCACATGCATTGCATAGCAGCCAAATGGTGGCAGCATTTCACCTCATGTTTGCTGCAGAGCTGAATGCTCAGGAGGTTGGTGCATAGGTAGCATCAATTTCAGTTAATACAGCTAATGTTTCAGTGGATTGTGATGTTGCTAAGGTATTCTCAGGCATTAATGCTCCAAAACACATAGACTTTGAGGACAAGACATGTCAAGACTTGAGCAATTTGGCCCAACCTGAAATTTGGTGCATGGAAGCTCAAGGTCCAAATCAATGATGCATAGGCATTTGGAGTGGTGGATGGTTTCTTGCAGACTGGCTTGCTATATTATGCTATCATATGCACAATTTTTGCCAACTGCAAAGGTGAGAATAGCTTGCCTCCAAATGTAACCACTTAGATACAGGCAGTTACCTGCTTAAAACATACCTACTTTCTCACCGGGTCCAACCCAAATAAGCATATCACTTCAACCTGTTGCTTTGCATGCTCAGAGGGTAGTTGCAAACACAAAATCGATTTCAGCATTATCCAGAAATTATTTAGTCCAAACTCAATATAGATGAGCCTTTCATTTTGAGACCAACAATTCACTGGCCGAACGCAGCTAGTGCAGCAATCGATTGGCGTCTCTCAGGCCCATTCAGGCTTGAGCCATACTGTGCCGAGATGCATATTCACGACATCCATCATAAATGCTCCGATAGGCAATGCCCAAAACCTTCACACCACACATGGCAGCTTACCTGCGCAGCCTACACCACTGGATGACCGCTGTACATAGCAATACCCGGGCACCCAGTCACCAACGGTTTCGCATTTGCGAGCGCGACTCGTCGAACGAACTTGTGGGAATTTTAGAGATGGATCAAACATTGCTTCAGATACTTTGTACAAGAAGCACAGCGAAAGTCAACGCAACAATCATAAACGAAGTTGTTATTGCATCTAAATCTATATAACGAGATAAAAGATCCTGAAAAATAAATTTGTATATTTTCATAAGAAATACATTGTGTTTTGACCTGTTATTTCACAGGTATTTTAAGATAGGTCCACAGGAAATTGCATGCCCAATTGCGTACTAGTTCACTTCTCTATCTATTTTGCATATTTAGCGCAGAGCAGACAATACACAAAAAACGATGATATTGCGCAGAACATCGCGCTGTAACCACTAGCGGAGCGAAGTCGCTTGTTTTTCGGCAAGGTAAGTGTTTGGTGGGAGGCGCTGGCGTTCTTTGTAGTGATTTGAACGACATGATAGAATGCATCGACGGCAGTGAAGTTGCTGCTGAAGGATCTGCATCGAACGCAGAAGGGAAAAAGTGTGGTGTCATTGGATGGTTGGAAAGTTGCAGCTGCAGTGGGATCCAGCTGGGTTAGGCAAGCGCAATACGCAAGGTCTACGAAGATTGCGATGTTACCCCAGGTCCTTCAAGTAATCCTTTGCATGTAAAAGAGATGAGCATGTGAAATGTGTGAAATTCATACCTGGTTTTCAGAATAAAGTTAGGAATATGATGACTTCTCATCGGAATGTGATGATGTCCCATCAGGCCGACATCTGTCATTTTTGCCAGGCCATGTTTAAGATTTTCCCTCAAAAGACTGATTTTAAGTGTAATAGACTATTGCTATTTGTACCATGGTCAAGCTGTGTCATGTTACCCTTTGAAATGGCCTGAGGTCTATAACCGGCAATGGCATTGCAGTATCCCCTCACCACAGATTATACACAGGTGGGGCAGTGATGATTTGTCGAGGCAAAGAGCAGAAAAAGGTGGTAGGCCTTGTTGGTAAGTGGCCAGATACACTGCTTACTTATGAACTAGCAGTATGATTGATGATATGTTGTAGGGTTGATATGCTGTGTTTAGCATATGTTGCAAAGTCATTTTGAGGAACTATGAAAGACAAAATTAAGTCACAATTTTGATATCTCAAAAAGGCAGTGCATAAGCTTATTTGTGCAGCATTTGGTTGAAGGCTGGTGGTAGTTTTGATATGTAAAGGAAGTGTGAAAATAATATATGGCTCATTCATTGACCTCAGCATGTGGGCTAACATCAATGGACCAGATACCTACTAATCTACCACTCTGCCAAGCATTGTATGAAGATATGAATGTGTTCAATGTAGATCAGGAGTTGTAACCTGTAATAGGCACCTCCAACATATACAAGAAATGTCAAAATGTCTCACAATTTGTGTGTAGGATATTGTATTGGAAGCGTAATCATTGTTACATTCATGTGTGTTCCACAGTTATTTTATGGCCATCTGAATCCAGAAAAACTAAAAACTTGGCCTCTGAAGGATGTCTGCTAGCACCAGGCAAGGTAATTACATTACATACTTAGGCCATAGCTTTTGGGCTGAATGAAATATTTGAAAGGTGACAACTTATTTTACCTTTAGACCTGTGCAGTATTGTTTTTGAAAATAATTTCACACATCTAGGCTGTAGTCTCTATATGTCTGATATACTTCTAAATTTCTGAGCCTTTATCCCAAGAAGCATGCTGTAGTTTTGTGTATGGTATATATCTGTGGGATTGTTGATTATATATTTTATTATGCTTTTTGGTCATGTAATATTGGAAGCTACCTTAATTCTGCACTTTCCATCTATCCTTTACATGATATTCTGATTAACAGCCCAATAATGAAGATATGGATTTGTCATTTGTCATTCTTTCAGCCATAGAAAACAGAAAGATTCTTGAAGATCTCCAAGCTCAAAAGAAGCAGCTTCTGCTGAAGCCAGGAGCTGTTCCATTTGCTTCTGGAACACCTGGTACTCCTGTAAGTTATTTACAGCTTCATATTAATGTTGCCCATACTTATACTGCTCAGGTAGCTTTAAGTGGATGTTCTGCAGCATTTCTGTTTACGGAACCTGGTCATGACCAGAATATGGGCTGCCATGAACACTCCTGTGTCCATGGCAGTTGCATGCACAGATCCTGAGTTTAGCCTTAACTCAGCATCCATGCACATAACTCTGGACCACAGGAGCTTACAGGCCATAGGTAATGGACAAATTGTGCTACACCAAACAAGTAACTCCATGCTGTATATTGTGTCTTATGCATGCAAGTTGTCATAATCTGGTTATCTGATGGACCATTTGCAAGTTTTGGGAGCCCATGTACTTTAACAGCAACTGTATAAAACTTAACTGTGCAGATGAGCCTGTCTTTTACACTGTGTTTCTAGCAGGATAAAAACTTAGGGTAGAATTCAATTGAGTGACTAAATGTTTCTGGGACACTAGAAGTGAATTAGATTCACAAGTTGTGCCAGGGATTTCATTTTCCAGTTTCTTTTCAGTAGCCTGTGATGGAAGGTAGAGTGGCATAAATGTTGCATTGGTGAATGAATTATCTTGTTGGCTGGGTGTTCATAACCAAAATTGTTTGAATAATTCATGCAAAGACTGCATTACACAGCCAGCATAAGTCTAGTGCTATGAACTTATAATAATCATAATATAATGCTGGGAACTGGTCTTAAAGGCTCAAGGTAGCCTTTGCTTTAGCAACTACTCTTCTATGACTGATCTGGGTAGTTTTAAACTGGGAAAGTTCATGGCATACCATGCATACACTTAATAGCCTAGGGAGCTGTGGTAGTTGGCCAGGGAGATCAATGAAGGCCAGCAAAATGAGAGTTTATAAGTTCAATTTTAGCAATGTTTGTGAAGTTGATCAAGCTGTATCAGAAGATTGTGCAAGTAACTATGATGTTTGTGATTAACATGATTCTGAAGTGGCAATAGGAAAAGCATGTCATGAAGCCATTGAGCTACCAATTAACTTCTTTGGAGGCTGGAAGTCTGTTGCAATACATGCTACATGAATAAAACTCAGTTGGTGTATTTCTGATAGCTGGAAAGTGGGATGATCTGCAGTTTGTGTGGAATATGGTATATCATGGATTAAGGATGAGCATACCAGTAAAGATTTGCCCTGACACATAGCTGCCTGGTCAAATATCTCACCTCTTGTGCTGTTTGATCTGTGGTATAAAAGCCTGGTGTGATGTGGATCTGACAGAGTGTGTTGTCTGCAGGCGGGCGTAACTACAAGCGGTGATCACCTGCTCTCGCCGGCGCAGCGGCAGGCGCTGCAGCAGGCCAACAGCACTTCGTTCGGCTACTTCGTGCCGCAGGACTCGCTCTTCGGCAACCTGGTGATGCCTGTGATCCCTCGCTTGGAGGTCGGCGGCGCTCGCAAGGACAAATAGCGCCCCTGCGTCCTCTACACCTTGGGCCACCCCGCGCTCTCTACACCTTGGGCCACCCCGTGCCCCCTACACCTTGGGCCGCCCCGCGCTTCTCGTTTCGCGCCGCGCCCGCCAGGCGACGGCCGGTATGGCTGTCTGCATGAAGTTGTGGCAGCTGGAGGCGCTGCTGCAGCAGCTGGACGGGTTTGACCGCCCGAAGGTGACGCTGGAACAGTACGTGACGCCGCCGCACATCGCGGCGCACCTGCTGCACACAGCGCAGGCGTCGTTCGGCGACCTGGCCGGCCGCAGCGTGGCTGACCTGGGCTGCGGCCCGGCCGTGCTGGCCGCCGGCGCCGCCGCGCTCGGCGCCGGGGCCGTGCTCGCCGTCGACATCGACGCCGATGCGCTGGCCGTGGCGCGTGCCAACCTGGACGACGCCGGCCTGACCGCCGTCGAGCTGCTGCACGCTGACGTGGCGCACGTGGTCGACACGTGGCGCGGCCGTGTCGACACCGTGCTCACCAACCCGCCGTTTGGCACCAAGCGCAACGCTGGCGCCGACATGCTGTTCCTGCAGGCAGGTCTGCGGCTGGCTGATACGGCCGTCTACTCGCTGCACAAGCGCTCCACGCGGCGTCACGTGGCGCGCCAGGCGGCCGACTGGGGCGCGCGCGCCACCGTTGTGGCCGAGCTGCGCTATGATCTGCCCAGCACTTACCGCTTCCACAAGCGCGCCTCGGTGGACATCGAGGTGGACCTGTGGCGCTCCTGTCCGCAGGCGGCCGCGGACGTGGACCGCTAGGCCCGTGTCGTCTCCTCGAGCCGACACGGACCCAGTTGGCGCTGGCTTCTGAGACCTCTGCGCGAGAACTTTCCTAACGTAACATTTCCCGATCGCATTCCTAACAACTTGCATTCTGAGGTGCCACACCTGACAGGCTGTCGCGTGTTTTCGGTTTGTGTTTCTGTTTTGTGGCTCAATTTGTGTCTGGGACCGTACGGCGCGTACGTGTGAAACGCTGACGCTCACTAGGTTTTTGCTTCGGGCCTTATGTCGTAATGCAGGTGCAGCGCGTCCAGTGGTGCGTCGCATACGCTGTCTGCCTGCTTATTGAGCTCGCAAATGGTTTGAACCAGTGGACAATGTTTGGAAAGGGATGCATGTAATATATCAAGACTTGTGAATCTGTTTCTGTTCTTCAGTAACAGCGGTGGAACCCTTCCATTAAATGGTTAGTCTGTCGGCTACCGTCACATGTCTTAGTCACTCATGTCTTAAGACAGGGTCAAAAGAGGGGTGGCGCACACGCACTATACGATTGGAACCACAACAGAACAGGGATTTCGAAACTTGCGTCTAGAAGGATTGCATCCCAGGTGACTAACCTCCCCACAAGTGCGCCTGGGTGGGAGGCAAGCAGGGTTAACGCCTGCTGTAATGTTTGCCACAAGCGATGCATTTGTGGAGCACAAAACAAACACAACTCTCTCTGATCGCAAGGTATCACCTATGGGCCGATTGTGATAAAGTGGGCCGCATGTGAGCACCTCTCATTTACCTCATCAGTCTTCACCCAAGGTACCTTTTACCTTTGTACATTTGTACCTCCTTACCTTTGAGCGCGGCGCCGCTAAGCCAGAATGTCGGCTCACTTCCAAACTTCGACCCCGTACCTTATCCGTACCCAACGTCCTCCTAACCACTGTTTTTTTGTACCTGTTCAGTGCTACGTCACACTTGTCATCAGTATACGCTATATTTCGCTATATATATATATATATATATATATATATATATATATATATATATATATATACGTATGTGTGTGTGTGTGTGTGTTACGTTATTTTTCTTGTACTCGTTCATTGCTAGCTAACTATTCGTCAGTCTACGCTATATTTCGATGGCATGAGAATAACTGCATGCAATGCGTACAGCTGAAAGTGCACACACACTCAGCGTACACAAGGATTCGAGAAGTGTGGCGTTGGACGGCAGTCATCATGGGCTGATGTCCAGGCGTACCGGAAAGGTTGTCATTTGTATCCTGCGTCTCGGAGGTGAGCATTATTCGAAAGGTGACTTTATTTTAAGACGCAAAACAGTGGGAATGTGGCCATTCGGACATGTTTGCCTCGGTACTGAGAACAGTACTGGTGGTGCCGCAGGGGTATGGGGAAAAGTGTTGTCAGGATGCTGGTACCACAGTGCGGCTTGACTCTCGTATACCTCACCGGGCAGAGCCGTAACTCAATGTAAGCGTTGCTGCTTAAACAGCGAACGGCGGGCAAAAAAAAAACAACTAGAAAACACCGCAGCTTTCTCGTAGTGGGCGCGGTGCTTCTGGGTCCGCATGTGATAGCTTACGACCTTCGACCACAGATTAGAGAAGCCCAACAGCATTTCACAAAACGCCATAAGGAATGGTGATGAGCTGCGGTTTAAGGGCGTGTCGACACCAAGCACTATATTGCGCCCATAAACGACTCTAAAGGAATGCCTTATCCTGCGCGGAAAGGAGATGCTCAGCATGCCGGCTGGGGCCAGTCTGTAGAGCACGCGGCGCGATGGCCGCGGTCCCGCGCCCATGTGGTGCCCGCCGCGCCTCTCCGGATGCTCACTAGCTCCGGACGCCGACGCACGCGCCGCCAGTGCCGGACACGGGGACACCACGCCGGTGCTAGCGGAAGCTGCCGTCTGATGTGACCTTCCAGATAAAAAACCAGATTACCGCGCAACGGATCGTGAGATTATTTGTGACGATGTCAGAGCGACGCGCATGCGCCCTGTCGTCTGACTGCCTCGAGCAGAACTCAAACAAGGGTGTTTAGTCTGATAGTTATTATATTGGCATACGTACCCAGAGCATGACTCGCAGCCCACTGCCGTTGCATCTGACTCGGAATGCGTCAAAACCGACGCCAAGCCCGACGAACCATTTCATGGCGACAGGTGGCACAGTTAAAAAAGCTGCACAGATGGTCAGTCATTAAAGCGTCTCCCCGGGCCAGATCTGCAAGAGACAGATAAACTACACCACGACCCAAGCTACGACGGCCGCCAAATAAATACAAACATCGGAAAACTTAACAAGCACACTGCAACTATAGCACCAATCGTCGCCTTCGTCGCCGGTCGGGGGAACACCGGGGTCTCAAACCTATAAAAATACCGCAGTCCACTCCACAGCAGCTCCGCATCACAACCCTACGCAGACGCTGGCGGCCGCGGCCGCGGCCTCGCTAGCGACTGGGAGCGCCCAGACTGGCGCGGTCGTACTCGTCCTCGGCGTTGTTGGTGCGCATCTCGTGCAGCGTGTGCGCCAGCCGGCTCCAGTCGTCGGGCCGGGGCTGCGCCAGCTGCTCGCCCACGTCGTACACCCATATGCGGCCGCGCTCGTCGCCGGCCGTGATGTGCAGGCCCGACGGCGTCCACGAGACCCGGTTGAGCGCCGGGCCGCCCTCCACCAGCGCGCTGGCCACCGGCACCTCCGTCTCCGAGTTGAGGTGCCACACGTCCAGCCGGCCGGTGCCGTCCACGGCGGCGAACAGCGCCGGGTGCAGCGGCGACCACGCCACGTCGTACACGTAGTCGCTGTTGTCCTCGAACGAGTACAGCGGCTTCGAGTCCTGCCGTGAAGCCGGCGCGGTGGTCAACAGCCGTGGCGAAACTCCATCTCGCGGCGGATTAACAGGCACAATGACGCGCATCTCTCTCATTCACATATCAATGAACAGTTATTGTGAATGGGGCCGATGAATAAATAATCACTATGAATCGATCCACGCAAGAACTGTTTGGAGATCGAAGCCTCATTGATAACTGCGTGCGACACGGAAGCGCGGCTGGGCCGCAGCATCGTCCATACCTTGGCGCTCCAGAGCTTGATGGTCCAGTCGATGGACGAGCTGACGAACAGGTGGGCGAAGTCGAGCGGGCCGGGCGCCGTGTGCGCACTCACGCCCGTCACGGGGCCACAGTGGCCCTCGTACAGCTCCTGGATGCCGGCCCGGCTGCCGTGGCGACACGCTGGCGGCACACGTCAGGGACGTCAGACGGCGGCGCCGGGCCAGCGCCCGCTAGCACATCAACACAGCATCCGGCACCGAGCAGGGCCCGACAGCGGCGGCTGAGGCTGGTGTTCACGGCGGCAGGGAGGGGAGAGTCCGAGAGCGGAGGACGAAACGAGGCAGTAGAAGGTGCAGACAGTGGCAAGGCATGGCTAAGGCGTCGACAGTTGGTGAGGCGGCGTTCGGCGTTCCCACTGGAAGAGGCCAACGATGCGGAAACTCAGCCGGGAGGGGTAAGGGTCTAGAGACGCTCTTCCAGACACCTCGGCGTATTTCAGCCATGGTGCACACCTTTATATTCCACGTTCTCTCCACAAGGACAATGACATCACATGGAACCATACTTCTTAAAGTTGACTGGGTCGGTGTTTTCGGGCGGCGTCACTTATTGCGATCATTTGGCTACAACGTTCCAAATGTTACGCGATCCCGCCGATCCGCCGACCGCAACACGGCCCCGCCGATCCCCCAACCGCAGCACGACCCCACCGATCTTCCGCCGCCACGCCATCCCACCGATCTTCCGCCGCAGCGCGATCCCACCGATACTCCGACTGCAGCGCGACCCCACCGATCCTCCGACCGCAGCGTGACCCCACTGATTCTCCGCCGCCACGCGATCCCACCGATCTTCCGCCGCAGCGCGATCCCACCGACACTCCGACTGCAGCGCGACCCCACCGATCCTCCGCCGCCACGCGATCCCACCGATCTTCCGCCGCGGCGCGATCCCACCGATCCTCCGACCGCAGGGTGATCCCACTGCAGGGCGATCCCACCGATCCTCAGACCGCTGTGTGACCTCAGCTGTCCCCTCAACACGTTTAGCCGTGCTCACCCGTGTACAGATTGCCCTCCTCACTGCCGATGATAAAGTTGTTGACCTCTGCCTGCGGGAACGCCAGCGCCGTCACAGCCACGGCCTTGCTCTGCTTGAACTGAAGCTCCATGGTCTCCTGGAATCCAGACGGCTCGTGACACACATATTGCGAGGAAAAATGCCTGGCACACAAAAGTTTCGGCCAGTTTCCTCGGAATTTTTAAGATTTGCGGCTGGGTTTCCTGCGGAGTTTCGAAGATTCGTATTCGCGTGGAACGAAAACTCGAAATCGGCCGGAATTGTAAAACGGGCGCCGTGGAGCAATTTACGCACACCTCTGGAACGTGCGGCACGCCAGAAACTTCAAAAATAACTCCGGTGAACGTTCATTACCGTAAATCGCTCCATCTGCATGTTAAGTGAAAAGCCGAACGACCTGAAAATGAGACCGGGTATCGCTGTCTGGGAGCCAGGTGGGGCGCCCGCAGCCCACCCCGAACCAATCAAGCACCCTTGTATCCCGCACCGAGGCTAAACCACGTGCTAACTTATGGGCGAGGGCGGGGTGGAGCCATGGTTCGGTTTGGCCGGTGCCGCGGCTCACAGCAGCGCCAGCCCGCCCTGCCTTGTTGACCTGGCACCCACCTGCGGCTGCGAGAGCATGTCCAGGCTCCAGGAGCACATCTTGCCGTCTGTCGATACCGATATCAGGTTGTGCGCGTTCTGCGTGCCGACCACGCGCATGCAGTACACCGGGTGCTGGAAAGACAACGGTAGCGGCGCGTCATGGACCGCGCAGGCCACGCGCCAGTGTTCAGACACGGCCAGCCACTTCCTGCAACTGCACACCAATCACATGCAAAACATAGTCCCTCCGCTTCTGTGAATCGCGAGCTTCGTGAAGTCCCATCGTGGCACATACAAAACAACTGCAACGTGAATGCCCTGCAATGCCAGAGACGAAGAAATGCACCCTTAAACCGAGTGGATATTGCCTTACTCAAAAGCGCTCACCACGCGCCGGCACGTGCCACGCCAGCGCCGTCACCGGCCTCCGTGCCTACCCGAGGTGCACCGCGCAGCCGGCGCCGGCGCCGGCGCGGACCGCGCCCGGCCGACGTACCGTGTGCGCGGCGGCCGAGAGCGGCGAGCGCTGCACGGGCGTGCGCTTCTGCGTGCGGTTGTCCCAGAGCACCACCTGGCCCGAGTACGTGCCGCCCACGATCAGATTCGGGTGGAAGCGGGCGAACGTGGCGCACATGACCGGCGACTGACAGTGGAAGATGTACTCGGGCGTCGTCTTCTTGAACTTGGTGTTCCACACCAGGCACACGCCGTCCGGGTCGTGCGGCGCCTCCTCGTTGTTGTTGTAGCTGCGGCGGGCAGGCCGAGTCAGGCGGCCGTCACAGTGAGCCCAGCGCGCACACGTGCCGGGGAGGGGGAGTAGGAGCCCGCAGGGGATTCCCGGGCTCGGTGGCGAGGCGCTGCTGTAAGTGATACGGTTCAGGAACCGATATGTGATATCGACGCCACGCCTCTGCCGAACAGAAATGTTCACCAGCACGTCGCTAGTGATTGACTCTCTGCGCACCGATGACCGCAACTGCCACGAAAAAAAACAGCCGCGATACAGCTTAGCGGAGGACGTCAAAACACGCACGCACAATTACAATCAGAGCATACACCACACCATGTTTTACACTGCCACGGAGCATTAAACAATCGTTCAGTTTCATAACATGGTTATTTAACCGTACAATTAAAAAACAATAACAACAATAACGTCACAATAAACCACAAAATGTGCATATCCAGCAAATTAAGCTTATAGCGAGCAGACGTCAGCCACGATCGCTGCCCTCTGGGAGACATTCGTCAGGGCGCAGCCCCGCTCCCGGACATCGCGCGAGCGAACAGGGCGCCGCCGCGGACACCGCGCGGACACGGCGCCGCCGGGCCTCCCCACCTGGCCACGAGCAGCTCGGGAAACTGTGGCGACCAGTCCATGGAGGTGACGGTGCGGTTCTTGGACCAGCGCTCGTCGCAGAAGCAGCGGTTCAGACTCAGCCGCATGCCCGACTTCTCGTCCCTGAGGCGTGGCGGCGGCAGCGTCACTGGACGCCCGTCCCACCAACCAGCCGGCCACAAGTCATCCCCGCCAGACAGCGCAGGGGTGCGTTCGGTTACTTTCTATCGGCTTTCGGCTTGCGATATCTGATTCGAATCCATTAGTGGTCCAGCAATGCGTCTCAAGCACCTCACTGTTGTTGCGTTATGTGGATGAAAACTCGCCAGTCGAAACTAGTCACAGCTTACACAAATGGGTCCATAGTTCCAACATGACTGCCCCGTCCCATCGCTCCTAAAGACACTATTGACTGCACGGGTGACTTGACATCCCAGGACAAGTTTAAGGAAGGATGGTGAGGTTAGATCAGCCGTGTTTATGATGTTTTCTCAAACAGAGCATCAATTGCATACAGGCAAAAACACTCATACCCTCCCTCCCTCCCTCCCTCCCTCCCTCCCTCCTCCCTCCCTCCCTCCCTCCCTCCCTCCCTCCCTCCCCCTCCCTCCCTCCCCTCCCTCCCTCCCCTCCCTCCCTCCCTCCCTCCCTCCCTCCCTCCCTCCCTCCCTCCCTCCCTCCTCCCTCCCTCCCTCCTCCCTCCCTCCCTCCCTCCCTCCCTCCCTCCCTCCCTCCCTCCCTCCCTCCCTCCCTCCCTCCCTCCCTCCTCCCTCCCTCCCTCCCTCCCTCCCTCCCTCCCTCCCTCCCTCCCTCCCCCTCCCTCCCTCCCCCCTCCCTCCCTCCCTCCCTCCCTCCCTCCTCCCTCCCTCCCTCCCTCCCTCCCTCCCTCCCTCCCTCCCTCCCTCCTCCCCTCCCTCCCTCCCTCCCTCCCTCCCCTCCCTCCCTCCCTCCCTCCCTCCTCCCTCCCTCCCCACCTCCACAGGCAAAGGGCCAGTGTTAGCGAATTCTGTAGATTTACGTAAGCGGGGCGAATTGAAGGGACTGCATGACTGGGCCTTACATGGCTTCTTCGTCGTCATAGTTTCGACTGTAGTCGGCGAAGATGTTCCACTCCTCGCACAGTGCGCGCTCCACCACGCACGCCTGGCGCGTGAAGAACTCGACGAAGTCGGGGGACATCATCAGCAGCTGCTTCTCTTCCTCACTCAGCTCCCGTGCTGAACGGAACAGCGCTGATGTTAGGCGCAGCGCCCCGCAATGAACGTGGTGCGGGACGCGCCGCGGCAGACCTCAACCGGGCCTGAGACCTCAAACCAGGGTCCACATGTAGACAGCAAAGGCAACAACGCATTGCTACAACACCAGCACAGATCAGCTTTTTGTTGCACGGTGGCCACAGAGCGGTGGGTGAGCGAGGACGACGCAATAACCGCGCGGCTGCCAATATCGCCCCTGTGTACAGCCGACCGCTCTGCCGAGTTGTGAGCGGCGATACACGAGAGGCGCGGTGCTGTCTCCGGGGCTGCGACATGGCTGTCGAGTGCCCAGCGCCCTATCCCTGCAGCGAATCCGCCAGACCTCACGCACCGCCAGCACCCTCGCCTGCTCCCGCGCCCGGCGCCCCTCACTAGCGCTCACGTTCGGGCTTCTTGGCGTCGGCGGCGGCAGCGGCGTCGGCGGCCTGCTGTCCCTGCACGGTGGCTGGCTGCACGTCTGTCACGGTGGGCATGCCGTGGTGCAGGATGCCCGGCGGCAGCTTGTGGCCCTCCAGCACAGTCAGGCTGGTGTCCTCCTCCTCCGCTTGGGCGTCATCGTACGTCAAAACTGCACGGTTAATAAGCACGCAGCCGAGCGGTCGACGGAGGGACGACTACACGACCACGGAGATAACAGTGCCAGTGGTTAGGCCACCAAGAGACGACCGGTGTCTCGTCACTTGCTTTATCCAAGATACACAAGCGCTTGATGTAACGACCGTAAGCGCGCCACAGATCGTGGCAGGAAAGGGCACAACAGCGCCAAAACAAGCTGACCAGAGTTGCTCGCTCTGAGGAAATCCTACCGTTTCAAACGAATTACCCGCTGTAACGTTTACTACAACGACAGCATTGACGAATCGTGGTGCAAGCGTGGAACGTGCTGGCAAATCAATGCGTGGGGAAGACGATATCAGAAAAGGGAGCGCATGTGACAGTAGCCGCAACGCAAGCTCCAATGTGACAGACATCGAAAAAGAAAGCCAAAAACCAATAGAACAAGCTCCACTACGATGTACAAACGGTAGAAGAGACGCCGCCAAGTGTTCCGCCGCCAACGCCGTCCAACGTCACCTCAACCCAGCGCGCATTCGTCCTCATGCGTGGTTAACGTAATGACACGGGGAGGGGGGCGACCATGCGGCGGCCAGCGTCGGACGAGCGACCGGCCGGGCGGCCAGTCGGGCCGCGGCAAACCAGGGCCGGGCCGCG